TGGAGTAGAATTTATGGGGGAAATGCCTGATTGGAGTTATTATTTAGAGAGCATGATGGGTAAGAGATGGTGAAATTTAAGAAATTCAGATATTAATAGAAAGATAGAATGGATCCATGTTTGAGGGGGACAAATTTTTGGGAGGCTGACTTTACTTTTAGCGAGGTACGTATTACAATGCATGTGTGTTGACATGCATTTCTATGGTAGTTTGAAGTGTGAGTTCTGAACAGCCAGGGGATGTAATCTAGAAGAAGCCCTCAGAAAACAGTAATGAGGGTAGGCATTTTATACAGATTTATGGTAGAATGAAGTCTTTTTTTTTCTTTATCAATGAAAGGGGATACAAGCTTATCAGATTAGAATAAGGAAGGAAGAGTTTATTGGCCTTTGGGGGGAGATAAGGAAAGGTTAAAATGTACATAAAAGAGTAGAAGAAATATAGACAAACAGCAATGAAAAAGATATATGTGTAAGTTTAGGTTAAAAATTCTAGTGAAGCTGTTCCACATGGAGAGATATTTCATGTAGCCATTTTCAGCTGTTACTGAATGTTCATATTGAATAGAGTTGGGTTACACATAAATTGAGACTTGGCCAGGAAAGTGAGGTAGAAGCTGGAGTTGAGGAAGATGGCTGTGGAGGGATTATAGTAGTAGCTGGGAACTAGCCTCAATGTAGGGAAATAAGGATACACTAAAGCCAATGGACAATGCAAACTTGATGAAAGACAGAGTTTTTGGATTAGGAGTATAAGAATCAGTACTCTGTAAAGGTAGGAGGTAGTAGATAATTAGAGGAAGATTGATTATTACTGGTAGTCACAAAGTCTCAGGTGTTGCTATAAAAACCAAGTTTAAGATGAGGTGGAAGAAAATATAATTAGAATTAAAGAGATCAGGGATGCAGAGTTCAGGGGATTACATGTGTTATTTGCATGGATGTTGACATCCCTAAAGGTGGTAGAAAAAATTCTAGTTTCCCAGGTGGTAGAGTCCTTAAGACTGTTGGAGAAGTTGTTTAGGAAAACAATACAGCCTATTTAAGTAATGTAATTTAGGAATGGAATGATGCCTGATGGAATCAGATCATAAAGGATCTGCGATTCTTCAGGAAGAAGAAAGCAGGAAATGACTGTACACAGAAAAGAGGAGTCATAATTATAGCTTCCCAGGTTTTAAACGCTAGTGCTATCAGGACTATGAAAGAAAAGTAAATCATGAGTCCTTGGAGCTCATGTTCTTGGCCCATTCAAACTTTTACTAAGTTACAGAGGGTGACAGAAGCAGCTAAGGTAGCTGCTGAAGACTTTTGTCAGTGTGGCAGATGGGTTTGGTATGGACGGAGAGATATAGAATTCTTAGGAAGGGAAAATGGGATTATTTTGCTAGAGGTTGCTACCAATATCAATGTATTTGATTATAATTTTATCAATGTTTTGCATTCTTGCATCGGGTTTTCTCCTAATGGCTTAACTATAATAAGCACCTATAACTGACAAACACTGAGGGAAAGACATTGTACCTCTGCTTTCAGGGTTTCTGAATTTTATTCTACTATGTTTGTAAGTAGGAACTTTATGTCTATTATATTTAGAATACCAATAATAAAAGATTAAATTCTTTCCTTCAGAGAGAAAAAGAAGTCTTTTAATAGGTCCATAAAATACACTAATTTTTAGACATTTAGTTTGCATTATTGAATTGTTCTCTTTAATAGTCATTATTGTTACTGCAGTGTGAAGGAACTTTTTAACCACTACTGTTGCAACCAGGAGCACTCCTCTCTGATAAATACTTCTTTTCAAAATGTATCCATCTGTTGCAAAAAGATGCTCCTTTTACAAGGAGTAAGAAGAACACTTATCTGTGTATATAAAGACAAATGTTTAGAGTATAGTTAGGGCTGCCCTGCATTCATATATATTCACATCACATACTATAGACTGAGATGGTTGTATTTATTTATTTAGGAACACAGTACACATATGATAGGTACAACTGTGATTGTAATGTAGTATAATAAACTACATCACTCCCCCAATACTTAAGAAAATTAAACACACACATACACACTGAACTTTTTAAAGTAATTTTTAAATTTAAATTAGAAACAAGCTTGTTTTACATGTCAATCCCAGTTCTCTTCCCTCCCCTCTTCCCCTACCCCCTATTGACCCCCCTCTCCCATCCCCTTTCTGCTCCCTAGGGAGGGTGAGGCCTTCCATGGACAATAAAGGAACATCTGGAGGCAGCACACTGAACTTCTAATTGCAGAATATCATCTAGAATCATTTCATTGACTTCTTTTTTTCCAGTCTTGTTTGGTTCAGCCTATGTCTCTGGGCTGTCCTGCCTCTGGGGTCTTGCCCTCTAGGCAGTGTTAGGTGTGTCTCCTTCTCATAGTATGGGTCTCAAGCTGGACCAATGATTGGTTGGTCACTCTCACAATTTCTGTACCACCTTTTCTCAGCACATCTTGTAGGCAGGACAAATTGTAGGTCAAAGGTTTTGTGGCTGGGTTGGTATCCAGTCTTTCCACTGGAAGTCTTCCCTGGTTATAGGAGTTGGCCAGTTGAGACTCAGAATACCCCATTTCTAGGAGTCTTAGCTGGGGTCACCCTCATAGATTCCTGGGAGTTTCCCTTGTATTAGGTGTGTAGTTCTTCCTAGAGATACCTCTGATTCCAGTTGTTTCTCCCAGTATTCTCTCCCTCAATCCCGCCCACTTACTGGATCCCTCCTGTTCCCATCTCTATCTCACATTGAGACTACTCCTCCCCCACATTGACCAAAGGGGAAATAGAGTAGACATCCTTTCCATTTCTTCACTTAGAGGAATGACATGAAAAATCACTTTTCTTCCACCCCATGGTTGGGGTGGTGGTGGATTGTTCTCCCTCCTTGTCACTGTCCACCAGTCATCTGAGTCCAGGAACAACTATTCACTTGAGCCTATGATGCCCCTGGAGGAGCTCAATGTGCCCCTGGACTTCCAGTACAATGACCCTTGTGTAATTGCATTTCTGGGACCTCAACTCTTCATGCAGGGGCGCTTCTTACCCATCAGTTGTCCCAAGTCATTGCATTCATTCTATACGTAAGTTGGATATTGTATCAGTTCCCCCCTCCAGTTTTATCTCTCAGTGTCTCTGACTCTCTCTCTCTCTCTCTCTCTCTCTCTCTCTGTGTGTGTGTGTGTGTGTGTGTGCATACATAGATGCATATGAGTGAGAACGGATATATGTATATCATAACGAGTTTGTGGAGGTCAGAGGACAACAGTCAGGAGTTAGATTTTTCTTGGGCTTTGCAGAGGTGCAGCCTTTCTCGGTGTTGGTACTGAGCTTTGTAAACCTGCTGACTGCCCATGGGGTTCCAGGACATTTTCCTGTCTTCACCCCCCATGCTGCTGTAAGAGTGCTGGGATTATAGATGTGCAACACAAATATGGCTTTTTTTTTTTTTTACACAGGTTCTAGGGCTCCAGTGTGAATTATCAGGTTTTTATAGAGGACACCTTTACTTGATGAGCAGTCTTCCTGCCACAGCTCTCCAGTTGCTTTTAGTAACTGTTTTTACATTACCTAGAGTTTTAGGTGTTGTAGGTAACGTACTCATTTGTTGCTGTCAGTCTTCTCCATTGCCAGACTTAGAATCCCATACATATGAGAACCATTTTCTACATTACATTCAACACGATGGGACCAACTGAATATAGAAAACCAGTCATTTATTTAGGAATATCATATTCTTAGGAGATGTTTTTACTCTCAAATTGTATTACTCAGCCTCATATCCAAGACAGTTTCTTTTCCTTTTGATTTTCTTTCTTTAATTAATTAAATATTTTCATTTATTTTATATACTGACCACAGTTTCTCCTCCCTCCTCTCATTCCATCTTCCTCCCTCCTCCCCTCTACCTGCTGCCCCCAGCCACTCCTCCATCTCAGTTCCCCTAGCATTGGGGAATAGGTTCCCAAAAGCCAGCTCAAGTGCCAGGGACAGGTCCTGATTCAACTGCTGGGAGCACTACAAACAGACCAAGCTACACAACCATTAGACACATGCAGAGGACCTAGGTCAGTCCCATGCAGGCTCTCCAGCTGTTGGTCCAGAGTCTGTGAGCTCTTGCTAGGTCAGGTCAGCTGTCCCAGTGGGTTTTTCAATCATGACCTTGACCCCCTGGCTCATACAACCCCCCTCCCTCTCTTTAAATGGACTTCTAGAGTTCAGCCCAGTGCTTGGCTGTGGGTCTCTGCATCTGCTTCCATCAGTTACTGGATGAAGGCTCTCTGATGACAATTAGGGTAGTCACCAATCTGATTACAGGAGATGGCCAGTTCAGGCATCCCCTCCAGAACCTAGAAACAGTCAAAACACTTCCTTGCTTTTTCATTGATTCAGTTTTGGGCCAAACTAGCTTATTGAAAGGGTATTGTCATTGAATGCCAAAATCATTAAAGGCTGTTTCTGCTTCTCCTTCCTGCAACACAGTTTAGCTTAATACAGTCCAAAGTTGTTCAATAAAAAAATCTGTGCAGTCAATTTACTATTAAGTATTAGAACAAGGTACTTGGTTTAGTTCTCTTTTTTTAAAATATGAGGTTGTTTTACTTTTTTTCTGAGAAGTGACTGATTGGGTGGCAAACTTAACCAGAACATTGAGTTATAACTTAAAGCATGGGTTTTATCCATTGATGTTTAAGTGTGTATTTTTTCTCTCATGTTAAAATGACTCAAGTTATCTTGAGATTCCGTAGTGTATTCATTGTGTGAAACTCCAGAATCATGGCTTGTATTTTTCTTTGAAATGACTTTTTGCCCTCTATAGTTGTTATGGTTCTTCTGTACCTCACTCTGTTTAGGTTGCATAGCATGGTCACCCTGTGCCTAATGTTTGTGTTAAAATATCTTCTTCTAATTATGTGAAACTTTTAGTTGGGAAGATTTAGGGTGCATTTGTTTTATAAAATTGCATCTTCCATTTTTCCCCCAGTGCCTGGTAGTGCACCAGAAAATATTACTTACAAAAACATTTCCTCCAGAGAAATAGAGATATCCTTCCTTCCTCCAAGCAGTCCGAATGGCATTATACAAAAGTACACAATTTACCTCAAGAGAAATAATGACAGCGAGGCAAGAACTGTAAATACAACCTCTCTGACACAGAACATTAGAGGTAAAATACAATCCTGCTGTTTGATATTTACCTTTATATTGACATCAAGGGCAGAAAATAACCCTAACATGTTAAAATGACTTAATTGTGATTATTTATATACTAGGAATAAGAATTCTTTTTGGCAAAACAATGTGGGAATTTATGATAGTCATATGCAAAAATACTCTAGGTCTGGTATTTTCTGCAGTGTCTTATATGTTGTATTCATTAACAGATGGGATGTTTTTGTGTATGGCGCGCGCGCGCGCGCGCGCGTGTGTGTGTGTGTGTGTGTGTGTGTCACTGCAGACATGTAGAGGTTGCAAGATAGTCCTGGATGTTTGTACCCATCTTCCTCTTCATTTGAGGTAGGATCTCTTTGTTTGCTTCTGACCTGAATGTGCCATGTTAGATGGCCTGTGAGCTTCTGTGGTTTCTCCCACGTGTACTTCCCATCTCACTGTGGAAACACTGGAGTTATAGTTACACAGTACTGGCTTTACATGGATTCTGGAGATTTGAACTAAGATCTCCAGGATTGCATAGCTACTGCTTTACCCAATGAGCCATCTTCAGAACCTCCTTTTAGATTCTAGACTGTAATCAATCCTAGTTCATTTGGCTTTTACTTTTGGCAGAGTGTTGAATTGAGAGTCATTTCATTGTTTGCCTACTGCATATTGCTAAAGGATATATTATTTTCTGTGTTAACTTATATATCTTATGTCTGTTTAGGACTAAAGAAATATACCCATTATGTGATCGAGGTGTCTGCTAGTACATTAAAAGGTGAAGGAATTCGGAGTTTACCAATAAGCATACTGACAGAGGAAGACGGTAAGACTGCAATGCACACTGATACACTTTGATTGTTAACATTCCACGGAACCTATAGAGATGAGATTGGGGTAATGTAACCATAGATTGGTGACATTTACAGAATATTACCCAGTGTAAAATTTTCTTTCACCTAAACTATCAGCTCTGCACAGCACTGGCACTATAGAGAGATTTCACTGTTAGGGTATAAGAGCAGCTACAAAAAATTAGGTTTACACTGAGAAAAATCAGATAGAAACATTCCCCCTTTTGCCTTTGAAGCTGACTGGACTATATAAATGTAAACAACAGTTTTATATGCCCAAGTTTTAGGTTGAATAGTGTGAATATTATAATGAAACAGTGTTTAGCATTTTAATGATATTTACAGGGTATTTGGAGTAGAATTTATGTAACTTTCAACATGGCTTAAAGTATTAGGATTAGCTTATTAATAGATTCAACATTTTAAAAAATTTCTGTAGTTATTATCTAATATGATATCAGTGAATGCTAATACTCCCTTTTTTAACTGAAAATAGGTTCTTCTCTCATATAATACATATTGACCATAGTTTCCCTTCTCTTCACTCTTCTAAATTCCTCAACCTCTCTTCTCCCCAAGAGCAACTCTTCTTCTATTTCCCTTCAGAAGAGAACAGACCTCCAAGTGACAATAACCAAAACATGACCAAACAAGACACAATAAGACAAGACAAAAAACCCTCATGCCAAGGATGGATAAGGCAACCCAATAGGAAGAAAAGAGTCCCAAGAGCAGGCAAAAGAGTCAGAGACAGCTATCAGTCTGGGAACCAAGAGTTCTCCCTTGTTCAGGTCAGCTGATTCTTTGGGTTTCACCAGCCTGGTGTGGTCCCCTTTGCTCATCAGTCCTCCTTCTCTGCAACTGGATTCCAGTTCACTTCAAGGTTTTGATGTGGGTGTCTGCTTCTACTTCCACCAGCTGTTGGATGATGGCTATACTATGTCATATGAATTAGTCATCAATCTCATTGTCATGAGAGGGCATTTAAGGTAGCCTCTCCTCTGTTGCTTAGATTGTTAGTTGGAGGTCATCTTTGTAGCTTTCCAGACATTTCTCTTTAAACTTATAATGTCTCCCTCTATTATATTATCTCTTATCATGCTCTCTTCTATTCTTCTCTCAACTCAACCTCCCTGCCCCATCATGTCTTCCTCACCCCTCCTCTTCTCCCCTTCACATTCTCCTAGTTCCCCCTCTCCTCCATGCTCCCAATTTGCTAAGGAGATCTTGTCTCTTTCCCCTTCTCCAGGGGACCATGTACGTCTCTCTTAGGGTCCTCCTTATTTACTAGCTTCTCTGGCAGTGTGGCTTGTAGGCTGGTAATCCTTTACTCTATGTCTAAAATCCACATATGAGTGAGTACATACCAGGTTTGTCTTTTTGTGACTGGGTTACCTTGCTCAGAATGGTTTCTTCTAGTTCCATCCATTTGCCTGCAAATTTCAAGATTCTATTGTTTTTTCCCATGGAGTTGTACCCCATTGTATAAATGTACCACATTTTCTCTATCCATTCTTCAGATGAGGGGCATCTAGGGTTGTTTCCAAGTTCTGCCTATTATAAATAAGCTGCAATGAACATTGTTGAACAGATGTCCTTGTTGTATGAATGTGCTTCTTTTGGGTATATGTCTAAGAGTGGAATTTCTGGATCTTGTGGAAATCTATGGAACCTCTTCTAGTGGATCAGTACTTATCCCTGGCATAGGAACAGACTTTGGGATCCCATCCCACATGGAGGGATACTCCCTGAGCCTAGACACAAGGGGGTTGGCCTAGGCTCTAGCCCAAAGAATAAGACAGACTTTGAAGACCCCCACGGAAGGCCTCCACCTCTGTTGGGAGCAGAAAGAGTATGTGATAGGTAGGGTGTTAGTGGTGGTGGGGGGGGCAGAGGAGAAGGGGAGGGAAAGGGACCTGGGATTGACATGTGAAATAATTTTCTTTTAGATTAAAAAAAGACAAAGCGAAACAAAAACAACAGCAAAAGAGTCAGAGACATATCCATTCCCAATGTTAGGAACCCTACATAAACACCAAGGTAACAGCCATAACATATACCTGAAGGACATGAAACAGACCCTTCAGACCCTGTGCTTGCTGCTTCAGTCTCTGTGAGCCCTTGTGAGCCCTGCTTAGTTGATTCAGTTGGCCATGTTCTCCTGTGACCTCTATCAATACAATAGACTCTGACTCATACAATGCAGCCCTTCTCTGGGGTTCCCTGATCTTCAAGGGGCGGGACCAGATGGAGACCTTCAATTTAGATTCTCTCCCCGTGTAATGTCTGTCTGTGGGGTCTCTGCACCCACTCCTATATGCAGAAGGAGGAATCCTCTTTGATGATGACTAGATAAGTCACTGACCTATAAACATCACAGAATATCATTAGGAATTATTTCGGAATTTTTTTTTTTTTTTTTTTTTTTTTTTTTTTTTTGACCAGTTGTGTTTGGTTCTACCCTAGATCTCTGTGCTATCCAGTCGCAGGTTCTTGGACATCCAGGCAGTGTAGGGCATGGGCCCTATCATGGCATAGACATCAAGTTAAATCAGACAGATTGTATATCAAAAGATTTGTGACTAGTGTGTCCAGGTTGCTCTGTGTTTGGTAGCCATCAGAATAATATTAAACATTTACTCAAGTGTTTTCCAAATCTGAGTAAAATCAATCCTACTGTAGAGATCACTCTCTATACCTCACTATTTATACCTCAGTAAACCATAGGTATATATTGCACTATAAAATCACTCTGAGATACATGCTTTGGAATAGTATTTGGAGTTTATGCTTTATTTACTTATTTTATGTATATGAGTGCTCCATGTGCATGTACACCTTTATGCCAGAAGAGGGCATCAGATTCCACTTAAATGGTTGTGAGCCACCATGTGGTTGGTGGGAATTGAACTCAGGACCAATGTAGAGCAACCAGTGCTCTTCACCACTATGCCTCTCTCCGCTTAACAATTGACTTTTTATGTAAAAGGAATTTTTATTATCATGTCCAGTCACTCAAGTCATAAAAAATAGGTTGTCAAGGCAAAGTTCATCTGAATTCTTAGACCAATTTTACATTCACTGAGGAATGGAGAGAACAAAAATCCCTTCTGTCTTTTCTGAAAATTTTCCACAAACAGAGAAAGGCCTGGGGGAGTTGGTTTTGCTGAGTTAGATACCTTGACTCAGACAGCTTTCAGTATAGACATGATCTATGGGTGTCAAGTGTATGAACAAGTAATGTGTGTAATTTTAATTACTGGTAGGAGTGCTTTCAAAAATTATTCACTAGGAATAAAGAGGAAGCTATGTTACTCCACAGCATCAGGGAAAATAGAGCTGAGCATTATGTCTAAGCTGGGACCTGAGGGAAGCTGGGTGAAAAGAGTATGAGTGAGGTGAGATCATGCCAGTGAAAGACCTTTCATTTGTCCTGCTCCTCTGACACACTGAGTTGATTATGTTGTCAAAAATTTTAGTTCTTAAAAATTCATTTATTTTTAGTTTTTGCTATGTTAATTGTGCGTGTTTCTGTGTGTTCACATCTGTGTGTGTTTCATTCAGTGGAAGTCAGAGGTCAAATTTAGGGAATAAGTTCTCTCCTACTACCATGTAGATGCTGGGGATTGAAATCAGGACATTAAGCTTGGCAGCTAGTGACTTCCTGCTGGCCACTCTTGCTGGCCTAAAGCTAAAGTTTAGATTTGCTGAATGGTATTTGAAAATAGATATGCCCCCCAAATTAATAAATATCATAATATATAATATAATATATAGTAATACTTTGGGTATATGCATATACGTACATACATACATACATATATACATACGCACACACACACACACACACACACACACACACACACACACATACTGCTGTTCTTCCCAAGAATCTTAAAGTTTATTGTAGAATAAAAATGTGGAATGCTGGATATTTGTATCTAAATTACTTCCAGTTTGTGACTGGCATACTTTTTCCTAAAAGTAAACACAAATTGAACTTTATAAAGATGCTAAGAGAATATTTATAAGTTTGCTTTGATAAGTGAGAGAATGTTCTCTCTTAGAAGTGATTCATATCACAGGAAACACATTTCTCTAAATGATATGCAGACTCATGTGATAATCAGCAGTCAACAGCATTTTCCAATACAGTGCCTCTGAAAACACCAAATCAGAAATACCAACTACTAGCTGTAGCTATTTCATTAATTCATTTCATGAAACAAGCCATTCTCTGCCATTAGAAAATTAAGAGTGATCCTCTTAATTTTTTCTTCTTTATGTGCTATACTGGTACACTTCTGTTTCCAATGGGACCTACTCAATTATAAAGATTCCTTGACTATATTTTGATCTTATCTAGAATTTTCTGACACATCTAAGGTTGAGGAATGCCATTGGTGTGGGTGAGGTCAGTCATTCTAATTCACTTGAAAATCTTATTCTTATTTTTCTTTGAACATATGACACCTTTTTCTTACAACACTTCATTGTCCAGGGAGATCTTTACCATGCGATACATTTATTCACCTCCCCCAATACATTTGCTTTTATTAGAGGATGGTAATTTACCAAGATGGCCTTGAGCAGTCAATGAGTCACTGTGACAGACCCGTGTTGTATTTTCTCATGAAATACTTTTATCCATTGAATCACAGGAGCAGATGTTCCAAGAGCACCATGAAAATCTTCTTTCATCATGTCATCTGAACATAAACAACCAGGCTCTCCCATCTATGAGGAGAAGCGCTGAACATGATTTGTTTGCCACAGAATTTATCAGAAAAAAAGTATGCTTTAATTTTCTCATTTTCTAGATATATTTAATGAAATGTGTCATTCTTTGTCACAAATTTCCAGCTCCTGATTCTCCTCCTCAGAACTTCTCTGTGAAACAGTTGTCTGGTGTCACTGTGATGTTGTCATGGCAACCACCCTTGGAGCCAAATGGAATTATCCTCTATTACACAGTTTATGTCTGGTAAGAATTTTTTTGGAAGTAGTTCTGAGAACAAATATTAATTTGTAATATAATAGGAATGTAGTGTTTATTTCACAATGTGATGCTGTATTAGGGTCCTGATTATTAATAGGTGGTTTAAAGTGCTTTTTATTAGGAAATAAGTTTACTTCATATTATGCAGTGGGTCAGCAAATAAAAATCTTTGCAACTAAAACAAAAAAACTGTATTATAAAAAACTATACTAAATGTATACTCTTGAAGGTATGGATAATTAGCTTTCATGATTACAAGTGTATGAATTAAAATATTTGAAGCTTTTAAAACAAATATTCTACACAACTGTTTTCAAATTTTCTTACATAAAATAATTTTGATTGAAATTTAAATCAAAGATATGCTTTCAGATATATTAAAGCCAACTTTCCCTTGATGGTAAGCAGTTATTTACTGGTTATCTTCACGTTAGGTACTTATGTATCCTTCAATTTTGAAAATTATGGCATTTCAAAGTGTGTTTCCTATGAGTTAACAAACAGGTATACTGCTTTATGACAACCCAAGAAACTAGAATTCTCCTTTTGATCTAATTTATGTTCACTACACAGAATCCACTACCCATGTAACACATTTTAAAGATGTTTTAAATTATTTCAACTCAGAAAATAAAGTTTATATAATATTTGTTAAAAGTAGATACTTCCTCACATTTACATATAATTTGAGAAGGACCATCATTGGAGAGATTGTCCTGTTTCAAAAGCTTTACTTTACTATCCTAAATTAAGACTTCCCCTTATTCGTCTGTAGATCTTGTGTATACTATTCTTTAAAGTTTACCCTCCTTCCATAAATACTTGATTTCTGGTTGCTTTGTCTAGTTTTGGTGACACTAGGAATATAATGAGAAACACTAGTGAAAAGGAAGTAATAGAAAGTAAGAAGTAATTCTGCTCCATCCATCTTTCCACTTGCTTTATACATTTATCCATCCATCCATCCATCCATCCATCCATCCAACCATCCATGACATTGGTAGAGTACCTATATACCTGGGAACAAGACACCATAAAGCCCCATCCTCAGGGGGTCAATGCTGGGAATAGAAAGTTGGATTTTATAATTAATACTCATAAGCAAACAATCAAGAAAATGTCGGGCGAAAGATGAGGACTTTATAAAGTTATTTTCCTTCATGATCTGGACAACAAGAAGGTGCCTCTTGTCTTGCATTGATCTGCAGAGAATTTTCAAACAGGAGATGATATTGCCTCCACCACTTCTGCCCCCACCATGAGAAAACATGATTTGTCATTTTGAAGACCTTAGTGTCAGATGTACCATATGTAAGGATTATGGAATCAGAGGAGAGTCAAATTTTGACAGAGCACTGATGGAAACTCAGATGCCAAGCCATGAAAACAGTTGGTTTTCTGTTTTAACTTGGAGTTGCCATAGCTTTCCCCACACTCAGAGAGATTTACACAGAATGAATTGTAGAGGATGAAATTGTTAGCAGGTTACCTGAAAGTAGGTTATTCCACAGTGTAGGCAAGAGTTGGTAGTGGAGGAGGGAGTGGGAAGTTTTGTGCTAAATTTAGGAAGAAGAGCCCAGTGGTCCTTCTTGATGATGCATGGATTAGTTATAGAGGTAAAAATCAAAAGATAAAAGAGATGATTCAACAGTGCCTTCTGGATGTTTGAGCTATGCATGTTGAATCCTGGATTGCGAAGTTTTAGTAAAATGTCTTGTTCTTCTGTCCTGTGACCTTGCCTCTCTTCACAAAGCATCTGGGAATCTCAGCATAATGCACAGTACACGTGAGCCTGGATAGTATGCCAAGGTCTACAGCTGTGCCAGGTTTATCTCTTTCTGGGCTTGCATGGTGACGATCTGTGCTAACCACCTGTTTTAGGAGTATTGCTATAATTCTAGTTGCTTGTCTTTAATGTGGAAGCATGTAAAAGTAGGAGGACTTTGTGAAAAGTAGCAGCAGGCGTTTTATATTTAACATTCTAGCAAGGCTGGAGTTGCATATTGTATCAAACAAGACAATTATTCTCAATAGCTTGTACTTTATGCTTTTTATAATGATGTTGAGGACTATGGAGACATTTTGGGCACCTCATGCTTTTCATATTTCATGAACTTAGCTTACTTTTTCTTAGGTAAACAATAAATTCAAAGTTCAATTCCTTCTGAGAATACTTACTCTCTCATCTTTGAAGTGATATTTCTTCTTAGATTCCTGTCAAGACAGACAACGGAAATTTGGTGAAAGCTGGGTGCAAAGGTCTCCATGTGTGCTACTGTAGTTCACTGAACCTGGCCTCTGCTTAGATTTTATCTGATACTGACTTACAGTTAGAGTTCCTGCTTTGAAAGTTCTTATTTTCTGTTTTATCCTTGATTTTTGTAAGACTTATCCTAGTCCCCAGGTCCTCTTGACCCTCAGATATTAGACTCTATCAGTTATTTCCTGAAACCCAGCCTGCAACTGTGTGGTGTGTACAAGGTCCCTCCACATCTTCCTGTCATTCTGGGTGGTTGCTTCAGGACCCTGTAAACCTGCAGTAAAGGGTGACACACCATGCTGATATTTCCAAAGGGCTTTCTACTTTTTTTTCTCTGCTGTGAGAATAAGCCTCTTTACATGGAGTTTCTCTCCCATATCTACTTGGGAGATATGGGATATGAATAAAAAAAGAAATTCCTTTTTCTTGACAGATGGCAAGGGCTCCTTTTTTTTAAAGTGTGTGTGTATGTGTGTTGTGCATGCATGTGCAGTGCTTATGTGTGTTTGCTTCTGTGTGGTATGCATATGCACGCTACAGAAAGCCAGTGGGCTGTCTTCTTCTATCTGTCTTTATGCTATTTCCTTCAGATAAGGTCTTTCACTGAACCCTGTCTCAATGTTTTAACCAGACTGGCTGGCACAAAAGCTTTCACTAGTTGCCTGTCTCCACCCACACTCACCCAAATCAAAGCTTAGAAGCCCACACAACCATGCTCAACTTTTTATATTTGTGTTGGGGATTTGAACTCAGGCCCTCAGGTTTATAGAGCAAGAATCCCTGTCGACTGAGCCATCTTCTCTCTCTGGCTATGAATTTTGGGGTCTCAAATCACACAGGATTGGTTATTTTCATTGATTGATTAATTAAAAATTTATGTGTGTCAGTGTTTTGCCTCCAGGGATGCTTGTGTAGTACATGTGTGCCTGGTGCCTGAGGAGGTCAGAAGAGGCCATCAGATCCCCCAGATCTAGAGTTATAGATGGTTTTGAGCTTCCATGTTGTTTCTGGTGATCTGCCTTGCCCTTAACCACTGTGACATCTCTCCATTGACTCTCAATATGCACAAGATAAATAGAAAACTAACACACTTAGCTTTGCTAACCATACACACAAGCATGCACACAGACAGACAAAACACACTTAGTATGCCTACACACACACACACACACACACACACACACACACACACACACACACACACACACACACACACACACACACAAAGATCTATTTTGTTTGTCGCTGAGTTTAACACCATAAACTACCATTAGCAATTTACTGAAACTTTATTATCATATATTGGATAGGTGAGTAAATGAAAAGTATAGTTTCAAGGTTCAAAACTTAATCTCCACTTGGGTGTTTTCCATATGAATAATGGACTTTATGTAGCTAACAGTTACTTTTGTGGGGTGATTATTTTACACAAATAAGAAGCAAGAAATACAATATATTCAAGAGGATAATCTGTATAATGAAATGTATATGAACTATAATAAAGTAGCTAAAGTGTATTTTTTAGTTTCCTGCATTTTTTACTAAGGTATTTCCTGTAAGATTTAGACAGTGTTGCTATGAAGAGGTCATAGTTTTTGATTTTTGCTTCTTGATGACTAACGTTTTAGGGGACTTTTGCCATTATCAGTTTAATTGAGACGATATGGTACAGGCATCATCATTCATTACTCATGCATTTCAAGTTAGTGAGACATAGGATCGAATCCTGGCTGTGGTGCAATTATCGGTGTGGTTCCCTTAAAATCTTGATAAATAGTGATGTGTGCTATGTGGAGCAGGATCTTTATTCCAGGATTCCTGTATCTCCCATGATTCAAAGTTTTTGTCATTCCAGTTCTCTAAATTACAAATTATCATAAAAGCATCCCTATGGATAGTCTTTCTTTCAGTGTGATTTTGAGATGAGGGAGTTAATATTTAGCATTCTGGGTGACTCTTCTCCTTGTCATGAATATTTCTCTACAAAATTGCTCATGAGGATTGATGTGTAATCATTTTGTTTCCACTACCACGTTAGTCACAGTTTGTAGATGATTTATTCAGAAATGTGCCTTAATCTTTTACAGTTTAAAATAATTTGTTCCTCTAAACTTTTCATCATGAAATAATGCTCATCATATCAAGATGATAAAGTAACATTTTCCCTCATTTATGTCAACAAATTATATCTTTTCAATGATACACAGTCCTTGCTAAGGGCAAATACATTAATTAAATAGTTTTATTAGAGCACTGTACATCTATTCTTCCAATGTACTTTGAATTGAGACACAATGTTCTTGTAAAGTCATACAAAGCTAATTTACTTGCTGTATTCTTGAATTCAGGAACAATACTGAATCACAGTTTGACAGATGTATGTCAACACATGTATAGAAATAAAAATGTGTGGAAACTTAAAGTGGTTGTAGATTTGTTAATATATCAATGTAAAATAATTTTAACTGATTTGCTGAAGGTCTTTGATTGGGGTTTTAAAACAATTGTAATACAGATCTTTATTAAATTTATGAGTCTAAAAATTCCAGAGGATTATAAAAGCTACTATTTATACATGACTGTTGGTATAATATAAAACTATGCATTGTACCTTTTTTTTTTTTTGCAGTTTTTACAAGATTTTCATCTGACTGAAAATACCCTAGCCAGGCAATGGCAGTGCATGCCTTTAATCCCAGCACTAGGGAGGCAGAGGCAGGTGGGTTTCTATGAGTTCTAGGACAGCCTGGTCTACAGAGCTATTTCCAGGACATCCAGAACTACAAAAAGAAACCCTGTTTCAAAAAAATAAAAAATAAAAAACGCTAAAAGGA